AAGGCGATGTCAGGAACTCTGTTCCAGGGGAGGAGTTCGACTTCCCCGTCTGCTAGACCGGACAAAGCGTTCTGCAAAACATCCTCTATGGCAAAGTCGAAAAGGAAAGGGGATATAAGGTAGCCTTGTCGAACTCCACTGTAGACGGCGAAGGGTGGTGAAAGCTGGCCATAAGCCCTAACCCGACCTGAGGTATGGTGATACAACTCTTTGAGGATCCGCACATACTTCTCTGGTACTTCATTCATCAACAAACACCTCAATAGTGCGGCCCTATCAACAGAATCGAAGGCCGCGCGAATGTCTAAGAATACAAGGATTGTTGGTCTACGGTAAGCATGACGGTGCTCAAACAACTGTCGGAGGGTGAAGATTTGATCGATGGAATAAGGTTTATACCCTTACGATTGGCGCAATTATTGAGCGGACCCTTTTAAAGCTGAGGACTACGATCGACTACCCCCACAAGAAGGGGACCTGCTCGGTATTCCAAAACTTTGGAGAACAGGACGTGGCGTTCTCTAACAAGCTTTATTCCACCATCTTTAAATAGAGCAGGGGAAGGCCATCGGAGCCCGGAGCTTTGTAACGTCCCAAGGCTTGGATCTCCTTACGGATTTCGGCCTCAGAGGGTGGATTTGTTGAAACAGACCACGGGACGTGTGCCACAATAGCTGTTTGAGAAGCTGGGGTGAGTTGCCTGCTAAATTATGCTTTGAAGTGCTCCACCCAGCGTTCAAGACGTCACTGTTGATTGCGAATAAGCGAGTCATCAGCTTCATAGATCGTTTCACTCGCACCCAAGGCTTTCCTACCGGTGACTGGGATGAGATGGAACAGCTTACGAGAATTTCCCACGGCGGCAGCACGTTCCATCTCTGATACTCATTGAGACCACCAGATCTCGAGATCTCTGCNTAGGCTTACGTTAAGTTCACGTCTCATTACAAGCCGTGTTACGTTATGCTCGCTACCGATCGGAAGTGACCGACTTGCGTCAAGAGGGCACAGAGGCTCAGCAGAAATGCAGAGTGTCACGATACGGCGTGTCAGACCACAATTAACTAAGCCAGCAGAATGCACAGCATTCTTGATGAGCGACCAGTGCTCACTGGCGTTATCAGGTGGGGTGGGTTCTAGCTTTTCAGCTAGCGCGTTTTGAAAGACGGCTAATCATGCTGGTTGAGAAAATTTATGGCAATCTAACCGCCGCTGTGTCGTACTTTTAGGACGTCTACCGAAGCACATTGACATCTTGGTGCAAACTAACGCGTGATCGGATTAGAGGGTAGTACTCCCGTAAGATCGGCAGTCTTGAATGCAACCCTAACATTTGTAGCTTATAGCGATGTGGTCTATCTCTGTTAGTCGCTGACTGGAAGAGGGTGGAAGCTAAGTGGCGTAACGGCAGTTGGAGCGTCTGAAGTTCGTACTGGCAAAGAATAGGCGGTGGTCAGAACATAGAGCCAGCAACCGTTCCCCGTTTTCCGAGCGACAGGAATCTAGTCCGAAAGGACCACCCAGATGCGCCTCACTCGAAATCAGTCGGCCTACTCTAGTTTTCAAACCTCCAGCCAAAATCACGATATCATCCCTGTCGCTTTACGCAAGAGGTCGTGTAGCTTTTGGTAGAAAGTATCTTTGACTGTATCTGGGCTACAGTTCGTAGGTGCGTACGCCGAGACAACAAACAAGTTGCGTCTTCCGGAGCGACAACTATTAACTTTGCACAAGCCTCTAAGTCTCACTGCGCATAACCTACTGTCGACTGAAATCCAATCCAGGAGCGCGGTTTAGTTCTCTCACTGATAGCCACGCCAACGCCAGCAAAACCAGAAGCCACAGCCTCAGGCTACCCAGAAATACGCAGGTGAAACTTCGCGGATGGGTTTGATGGGGACGTCAATCGGAGTGCCGCGAGGATACAAATGGTTAGTGTGGGATCAACCGAAGCCTCCTATGAGATACTAAGCATTGAAGGTATTAACTGCTGATTGCTAACTGCAAGCACAACTAAGCAGCTATTCAAGTTTTGTATTTGTTTAGACTTGTACGTAGACCAATATGCGGACTGCACACGTTGAGGAATACGCGTGAGTCTGTAGATGATCTGGATCTTTAGTTCGTAGTACAGTGTCGTCAAGGAGGAGTTAAAACCCGTGAAGTATTCATCTATTCAGAAAAACATTGGAAATCAATCCACGAAGAGATGATGGAATTTCAAACAGACAACAGAACACACTGTCAGCGACCAGTAAGTGAGCGAGACGATAAAAATCCTATTAAGTTTGTATGGGTATTGAATTGCTGATGGGCAATCTGCGAAGGGAATCAATCGTTAAAAATTACACTATTGTATGCATACTCCAGGACACAAAAAATCCAGGATTCACTATTAGGATAAGCTTCGCTAGAGTACTGTGAGCATATTGTGCTACCGATGCAAACTCATGCGCTAAAGCACGTTCAAAACAGAGTAAACGAATTTCGGAAGGGAAATGTGAGTTTAAAATCTTGAATAGGTGACCATGGTTCTCGGAGTGCATACAGTGAGCTGGTTACGGTTGGAATCAACAATAACTCTGTGACTGCATGGTTCAATCTTGATTAGTCTTCTAGTAACTCGATGACGGAATTGGCTATTCAAATAGCCAACAAGTGTTTGGAATGTAAGAGCAAAAAATACAAAAATAAACGTGTAGAGTAATGGAGTAAAGGCACGAGTGTCAGTGTTTTAAAATTTCAATCACATTACTGACATCTCTAACAATCAATCTATTAACCAAAGAACCCAGTAGTCTATAGTACAATTTAAGTGACCAAGTACGGTAGTCAATATTATCGCATCTTGACGCCGGGTTATGACCTAATCGTCCTTGACCTTTCTTAACAAATGCTTTTCTCCATAAACATAGCGAAACGAGGGACGCTCTACATCCACTAAGATGGACTACACGTGCCCCAGCTATTGCAATCAACGGAGGGCAAGCGTGGGTGTATAAACAAACGAGATTTAGTTTTATTTAAGGTAAACTTCACAATGGAGTACTGGAACGTCACACTTCTACAAGGTACATTTGAGAGCGTCGATAATGTACTTAACTTGTGGCTTCTTTCATTCCTCTCAAGTGCATGGCGTGACAATGCGCGGGTGAGCTATTTAGGTTCATGAGGCCAATACGCGTACTGTTGCGAAAATGACGGTGCCGCACCACAATTCACGCACCGTGTTCTGTGATTCAGATACAAGAATCGGCACGCGAATGACTGAAGTGATTACGCGTGGCAATTTTTTTCAAATAATACTAGCTAGCTAGCTAGCAATCACCACGGTGCGACAAAAACCCAAGCCGCAAACGACTACAGTGGGTTTATCATAGCGAAACTTCCTCTAAACAAACAACTGTGCTGGAATCCGACAAACATTAGACCTACAACAGAATCACTATGATGGACGCTGAAAATATGTGACGATCTCGAATTGGATCAGAATCGAATGACGAGCCAGATAGGTACATCCGGTCTGAGGACAAGTGCACGCATACAAAAGGTATGTAGACCGGAGAACAGAAGGAACGATGACGAATTATGGAAAAGAAAATAGAGGTAAAACAAAAACAGCGTGCCGAAGGGAATCTCTCGGAGATTTCTTATTTTCAGTAATAGTGTGGCATGCTATTATATTTTTCTGTCCCCAAAGTATGACAGTGACGAATAAAGACTCGGATTTAGCGTAAAACGTGATGATCGTCAACTGTATACCTCCGGGGTAGAGGTTTGAAGTAACGATCCGACGATTCAAGATTCAAATCCTGATAGGAGCATAAAAAGTACGCGCACTGCTGACGGGTCCCAAAAGCAGGACGAATTGAATTACGCGTGGTTTCTGTTAGCAGTACACGGAACTACACAAGTGGTAGAAACAAAAGCAGTCGCCGAATTCCATGGGCAGTGGTGAAGAACAAGCACACCGTTAACCCATCGCCCCCACAAAATCTACCTGCTTTCCCCAGTGTTTGATTAATCGTGACCCCGTGTATATGACTTGATTGTATGCTTTTGTTTGTCGAATAAACAGAAGTTAAAATATTTTAACGCAGTATTGCAGTGGTTTACGTGGTCCAAACGAAACGAAACTGATCTAGTGCTGGACAAATCCGAATAGCATATGGGTGATCACGTCGAACCTATTGTGAAATCATCGGGAAAGCACTATACTAATTCCCGAGCCTCGGCAAAAACACCAGGATGTTTCCAGTGGGCGTCAAGACTCACTTTGAGTACAAACGTGTGCCACGGCTTCGTGACCGAGGGTATCGTACAAGGGAACGGCAACAAAACCGTAAGCTGAGCAAGCCATGAGCGTTTCGATCCACTGAAAAAAATATTTTTAAAAAACAGAGGGCTGAAATATGAAACTGCGTCCGGCAATAGTAACTACAGAACAAATGCAAACGAAAAGGTGGATGGATGTTCCAGTTACTGTCCTAAAGAAATTACTCATAAAATGTCACAGTTTTCCAAAGGGTATTGACGTCGTGGAAAATGTGTTTCCAAAGTTGCTCTGTTTGACCCTTTGTTAGTCGTGAGAAAACTGAAAGGTGATTTAATAAAGACGATCGCTGCTCTTCCACAGTAGATCTTATCGGATTCGATTCCTGAATGAAAATTTGGACGCCAATGATCAGCCTAACTAATATCCTGCAATCTGCGTCTGATATACCTACCGCAGTCGAAGATACGTTTCCATTGCATTATTACAAACGTGAGCAAATAAAATCACAACTGTTGTATAAATAACGTTTCCTTTGGTCTGTACACGACAAACTTCATCGTGCAAACGTATCAAATCGGCCACTATCAACCTAAAACCATTTTGTCAACATTATTTTTAAACCGCGTTCGACATCAAACCATAACCTCTACTCTTCCATGGCATAGTATAACCGGGAGTGATCAAAATTATTCATACCTTATACCAATGCTCTTCGCACACAGATGAATCTGTGCGGGTAACGTTGAAACAACAGCAACAAAAATCGGCTGATTCAAGATGAATTGCAAAAATAGAATGCTAGACGGTATAAGAGAACGTACCTCTGGTGAGTTGGGACCGTAGATACCGATCATGATGGGTGATTCTGAGTTTGATTCACCACAGAGATAAGTCAGAGCAGATCCAAAGCATCTCACATGATCATCAACCTGGGGAATGGAAGAACGTGGTCGAAATGAGGTCACGGGTGTTGAGATGTGAGTGTGAATACAATGACAGCGTAAATTGAGGAAACGGAACTAACTCACTTCTTCGTACGTGTACCACCGGATGGGTTCGTCAAAGTTTCTTCGTTTGCCCAGACACGGCAGAGTTCCTGAAAACAAAACGAAACAAACGGAAAATCCTGAAAAAGCTGTCCCTTATAGCTTTTGGTATCCACCCCAACTCGACGATCTCCTTGAAGAACCTTATCTGTCTATTTTCACACAAATAGAACCGTCAATCGAACCATCCCATTAAACAAACGCTATTCAATGTGGTGGTGATTATAATTAGAAGTGACCCACAAGAATAATAATAATAGCTGGGATCGATAATTTATGGTGGATAGAATAACAAATTCCCAAGGAATCAATTTTTAAAAAGGAACTAAAGCATAGTGCTAGCCAACAGTCTCGGTTATTACGCTCTCTCCAAGGTCACAAAGCTGTCATCGGGTTGAATCAGTAATTCTAAGCGTCGTCGATAAGGTTGCAGCCAATTATCACAATGCAAAACATGAGTACCGAAGAATTATTTGTGTATTTGACAGGTCAGAATTCGAAATTGATTTGGGTTAAACTTCACGATTGCCTGTGTGTACACACACACACACACAGAGGATCGATGATTAAGTACACCGAGGGGACAGTGTGTC